GTCCAACGAACCCCCAAAATTATAGTGTGGCATAACCATTTAAGAGCGTGTATGGTACGGTACATATGTACCTTTTGATATATGTAATACGTACTTTCCACGGTTAATTAGGACATCGATCTATCATAGGTAAGTATTGTTTTACCTGTACTTACATGAAATATAAAGACATTTATAGTATACATTTATGTACTTTTATTTTCTTCCCGGAATACACGACATTTTCACGTAGATTTGAAGAAACTGAGACTTGTTCGAGTTGTCGGTATAACCTACTGACTTCCGTATTCATTCACCATAATCTTAACATAATAGATATCACCCATGGTCTTCGTTTATACACATAACACAACAGTTTCATTCCTTTTCAAGTCGAATTTCATTTGAATAGTGAGGTTGAAATATATCAGGTTGCTCGATTTTCTACTAGGCCGAGGGTTCCAATGGGGTATTTTTTGTCACGAGAAGTAATTTAAAACAAAACAAAACACACACACACACAATCCTGATATATTTCAAAGCTCTATGTTGGTCTATGGAAAATATTTCTAAATCGCCGACATCGTTCAAAAAAGGAATTTATAGAAACCAGTGAAGTAAAAACCTGCCGACATTGCCCACAGTGATGTCCGGTTTGTACCCCATCCCGTACACAGATCAGGCTTGGAGGAGGAGGACATCATTGTGATAGCTCCCCGGACCTTCATATGATATTACATTTTCTTATCGAGGCTACATCCGGGTCATTATCCCTTATCGGGGTGGGGGGGGGGGGGCGCATTCTCTGGCAATGATGTTGTTAACGGAAAGGGACACCCAACCCCAGTGAGGAGACTGGCTGGTAGTAGCTAAGTTCTTGCGCCAGCTTATCTTCCAAAAGAGACTAGGTTTACAAAGCAAATTTTTATTTATGATCTTAATAATCTGGAAACAGAGACAAGCTTACATAGCTGAGCATTACCTAGTGTTTGGATTGCATTAGCGTTTTTCTGAAAACAGTCACGTCCATACGAACCGGACACGCCCATTTACACCACAACACATTGGCTACTATAACTCGAGAATACCTGGTAGGCTCTTTGTTTAAAGCACGCCACATGAAGACTCAGTCATACGGATGGTAGGAAGTTCAAGTAATTATTAATCTTAAGCATTGTGTTGTATCGGGTTTATATACATGTAGGTAAATATATAGATGCTTCTTTCGTTCGTGTACCCACTGTATACTCATGTAAGGTTTTCACACCTGGAATATGCTTAGGTAAGATTGACACACCTGGTACATACATAGGTAAGATTGACACACCTGGTACATACATAGGTAAGATTGACACACCTGGTACATACATAGGTAAGATTGATACACCTGGTACATACATAAGTAAGATTGACATACCTGGTACATACATAAGTAAGATTGATACACCTGGTACATACATAGTAAGATTGACACACCTGTACATACATAGGTAAGATTGACACACCTGGTACATACATAAGTAAGATTGACACACCTGGTACATACATAAGTAAGATTGACACACCTGGTACATACATAGTAAGATTGATACACCTGGTACATACATAAATAAGATTGATAAACCTGGTACATACATAAGTAAGATTGATACACCTGGTACATACATAAGTAAGATTGATACACCTGGTACATACATAATTAAGATTGATACACCTTTTACATACATAGTAAGATTGACACACCTGGTACATACATAAGTAAGATTGATACACCTGGTACATTCATAAGTAAGATTGATATACCTGGTACATACATAAGTAAGATTGATATACCTGGTACATACATATGTAAAATTGACACACCTGGTACATGGTTACGTAAGATTGATACACCTGGTACAAGCTTATGTAACGTCGACAAATTTGCTTAGGTGGTAATAAAAAATTTACGAATGACAGCGTCGTGTTGATAAACTGTCACATGTTCAGCTGTAAGGTTTGTAGATACGTGTTATTGTTTGACTCTAAATCTCGCTTCCTTTAATTCATTTTTGAAGACGGATGTGTTGCCCTGGGGACGAGGTCTGCCCTTCATTAAGTCAATAACGTTTAGCTCTTCACTTTGACAGATTGAGATGGACGTGTTTACTCGATAGTCAACATTGTATGGATGTTATTTACAAAATTTCAGCGAGATTACAAAACACCTTTAGCAAGAACGGAGGCAACATTTTATAATGGTTTAGCGACTACAACTTATGTGTACAGTGCGAAACGGTCGTTCCGCGGCTGGACGTTACATTCCGCAAAACAAAGTATTGTGCAGTGTCACAACCGATCAGAGCATCCTTGGTTAGTTTATTTGGTTGATTTTGAATAACATCTCTCAACTGTAGGTCTGTTCCTAACTTCTCAAGTCGCCAATGATAAGTGTACAAGAGTTCCGTCCCCTTCTACGGAGCGAAACTTCACTTTAACGTGCGAAAATGACGAGGAAAAATGTATCATTTAGTCATTAATGCTAAGAAGAAATATAATTTCCTTTTCCTTTCATATAAAACAAAGTATATAATAAATTTCTTTCGTAATAGATATGTATTTACAGCGAGCGTAGCGATTTTTGATGAGTACCCAGTCAGAAATATAGGGGTTGGCGGGGTACCTTGGCATTTCTAGCCGATCTGAACACAAACTTGAAAAACTGTTGTTAGCAATGCCGTATTTGATATAATATTTGGTTCAATGATATCATGATGAATATCTATTATTCAGAAACTGTTATCAATATCTATACCCAGTGATGTACAGAAATAGTTATCAATATCTATACCCACTGATATACAGTAATAGTTATCAATATCTATACCCACTGATATACAGTAATAGTTATCTATACCCACTGATATACAGTAATAGTTATCAATATCCATACCCACTGATATACAGTAATAGTTATCTATACCCACTGATAAACAGTAATAGTTATCAATATCTATACCCACTGATATACAGTAATAGTTATCAATATCTATACCCACTGATATACAGTAATAGTTATCAATATCTATACCCACTGATATACAGTAATAGTTATCAATATCTATACCCACTGATATACAGTAATAGTTATCTATATCTATACCCACTGATATACAGTAATAGTAATCTATACCCACTGATATACAGTAATAGTAATCTATACCCACTGATATACAGTAATAGTTATCTATACCCACTGATATACAGTAATAGTAATCTATACCCACTGATATACAGTAATAGTTATCTATACCCACTGATATACAGTAATAGTTATCTATACCCACTGATAAACAGTAATAGTTATCTATATATATACCCACCGATATACAGTAATATATATCAATATCTATACCCACTGATATACAGTAATAGTAATCTATACCCACTGATATACAGTAATAGTAATCTATACCCACTGATATATAGTAATAGTTATCTATATCTATACCCACTGATATACAGTAATAGTAATCTATACCCACTGATATACAGTAATAGTAATCTATACCCACTGATATACAGTAATAGCAATCTATACCCACTGATATACAGTAATAGTTATCTATACCCACTACCCACTGATATACAGTAATAGTTATCAATATCTATACCCACTGATATACAGTAATAGTAATCTATACCCACTGATATACAGTAATAGTAATCTATACCCACTGATATACAGTAATAGCAATCTATACCCACTGATATACAGTAATAGTTATCTATACCCACTACCCACTGATATACAGTAATAGTTATCAATATCTATACCCACTGATATACAGTAATAGTTATCTATACCCACTGATATACAGTAATAGTTATCTATACCCACTGATACACAGTAATAGTTATCAATATATACACCCACTGATATACACTGATATACAGTAATACTTATCAATATCTATACCCACTGATATACAGTAATAGTTATCAATATCTATACCCACTGATATACAGTAATGGTTATCTATATCTATACCCACTGATATATAGAGATTACACAACGTGTGGTTGTTGGATACGGCGTTTATTTCACTCGAGTTAGTTATTTTTTTAAGGTTACAAAAGACACTCGCTTTAACTAACGAGAGTGAAATAAACGCCGTATTCAACAACCCCGCGTTGTGTAATCCGTTTCTACCATTCTTATTTCGAGACCACAGGCGGTAGGCGAAGACCAACACATATATACATAAGTAAACAATTTGCTGACATATGCAAATGTGGCGTAGAGATATCACTCGGAGTGAAAAGGCTCCAATTAATATTCAAAAATATATATGATAAATAATTTATTTCTTTATTATTTTCACAATTTTAAAGTTTACACATAATAACACAATGCCGATTAGTTGTCTTATAAACTTTAACTGTCTATATAACCGTAGAAAAATCGCGGACTATATTAGGCGCGCTTTGATACAGACACATATAGCAGTGTCATCTGGTTCCCGCCGGAAACTTCAAACTCCATCACTGTCGGAATCAGAGTACAGCACCTTTGGTCTGGGACGTTTATAGACGTTTGTATTGGTAATGTTTATTGTGAATGAACCACCGTCAATAGTGTAACATCTCAGCCTAGGTTCTTAATTAGCCTACAGACAGACGACACAACTCGTACAAATGGCGTTAACAAGCATGGACTGCTTTTCGTTTATTCGGACCATCTCAATACTCTACATGTAAGTACAGGGTAATGGTCGAGGAGTCAAAATGGATCTTGGGATTGACTAAGAGCTGGAATCGGATCTATTATATCCGGAATTACATATAATGATACTACTACACTACACTCCTTCCCTTTAAATTGTCTTGTTCATGTACACAATCAAAATAAGATCTTTGAAACTTCCAATTCTCTTTAACCAGTCTTTGGTATAGAATTACTTGAAACACGTTAACTGAAAAAAACACTTTTTAAATGTTACTGAACATTTTAACCAAGTCAATAAAGAACTATTCACAAATCAAGGCGAGCGATACCTTGGAGGATTGCGTCTCAATGGAATGGAAACCGAGGCATCAGGAGTGTACGGTGTGTTCCTTGTAATGTCTGTCTTATTTGTAGGTGACAACATGGTTGCTGGAGACACCTGAAGAGGTTTGGACACAACAGGTGCTGGAGATGTGTCTGATAAAATCAATGACGATTTCTGCGGTGCCTGTTGTATCTCGGGTACTGATGTCGAAATATCACTTGTCATAATCGGTTGAGTTGTATGTAAACTAGTGTCGACAACCTTTTCCGTCTCCATCTTTGTTGGTCCATCATTGAGTATTTCCTCTCCCGACGACACGATATGATCGACATGTGCATACCGGATATTTGGTCCGACGCGCACTAAGTAAGTCAAGGGACCCAACTGCTTCACAATCTTCCCTGGAACCCATTTCTCCAGTCCTCCGCGAAAATTCCTAACACGAACTGTTTGGTTCGCCACAAATGATCTGACTTGCACTCGCCCTTTGTCGTGATGTTTCTTTTGCATAATTTGTTTACAACTAACTCTCCCCTCCAAATTAGGTTGTAAGAGCGAAAATTTGTTTCGGAGTTGTCTCTTCAAAAACAATTCCGCAGGAGACACACCTGTTACTGAGTGAGGTGTTGACCGGTACTTCAACAAAAAGTTACTAAGGCGATGCTGCATGGAATACTGTTCATCACCGTTTAAAACCTGTTTCAGGAGTGCCCGCTTAAGGATTTGCACAGACCGCTCCGCTGCACCATTCGATGCGGGATGGTACGGAAGTACAAGAGTATGTTTCACTCCGTTCTTAACCATGAACTGTTCAAATTCACTAGAAATGAATTGGGGCCCATTATCTGATACAATCTCCTCGGGGAGATCATATGACGCGAATAACCACCGCAAGACCTCAATTGTCCTATTTGAGGTTGTGGACGTCATGTGAAACACTTCCAACCACTTCGAATGGCTATCTATAACAACCAAGAAATGCTGTTTGTCCTTCTCCGCGAAGTCAATGTGTAACCTTTGCCACACTCGTTTTGGCCAGCTCCACGAAAAAAGTGGTGCTACAGGGGGTGTGTTACGTGAACTTTGACACACACTACAGGCATTGACCAAAGTCTCAATTTCCTTATCGAGATTAGGCCACCAAAGATAGCTTCTGGCTAGTGCTTTCATAGCACACAATCCAACATGCTGTTCATGAAGGTCATTCAGAAGTCGTTCGCGTAAAGCAGGAGGTATGATCACGCGCAAACCCCATAATAGACATCCTTGTTCGGTTGATAGGTGTTCTCGGTGCTGGAAGTATGGTTGGAGATTAGCTTCAGCCACGTAATTAGGCCACCCATTTAATGTATGACTCAGGACTTTGGAAAGAACTGGGTCCTTCCTCGTTTCTTCTTTGATGTCCTCAGATCTCAAGGGTAGTTCGTCAAGTTGTGTGGAATGGTAAATATTGGCCTCCTCAGACCTACTGTCAGACTCTATCGGTAGACGGGAAAACGCATCAGCGTTAGCATGTTCTTCACCTTTACGATATGCAATATCATACTGATAGGCCGATAGTATTAAGGCCCAGCGTTGCATTCTTGCCGCCGCCAACGCAGGTACTCCGGTCTTTGGTCCTAGTATCCGAGTCAGTGGCTTGTGATCGGTCACTAATGTGAAACGTCGACCATACAAATATTTATGAAACTTCTTCACACCAAATATCAAACTCAATGCCTCCTTCTCTATTTGGGCATAGTTCCTTTCACTTTACGACAGCGTCCGCGAAGCAAATGCAATGGGTCGTTCCTCACCCTCCTCCGACACATGGGAGATAACCGCTCCTAAGCCGTATGCTGACGCGTCGCAAGCCAATCGTACAGGCTTGCCTGGATCATAGTGTACAAGCTAAGATTTGGTCCATCACGGACTGAAAGATGGCTGGTGCGGATGATACCCCGAACGGTAAGCGATGAAATTGAAACAATCCTAGGTGTGTATTGATTGTTAAGTATCGTTCAGACATCTTGTCAAGAGCGAGCTGTTGATAAGCCTGCGACAAATCAAGTTTGGTAAACGTCTGTTCTCCCGCGAGCTGAGCAAACATATCCTCCACATTGGGTAGAGGATATTGCTGTTCCTCAAGGCACTGATTAATAGTTACCTTAAAATCACAACATAGGCGAATAGACTTGTCCGACTTGGGTACTACCACTATTGGTGTTGCCCAATCACTTTGGTCCACTCGAGATATGATGCCCTCATTCTGTAGTCTAGTAAGTTCCTTCTCCAACGGTTCCTTAAGAGCAAATGGAACTGGGCGAGCCTTAAAAAGATAAGACTGGGCTTCCGGTTTCACGCGAATCCGTGCCTGAAAGTTCTTGATAGTACCTAACCCCTTTTCAAATAATTTGTCATGTTTATGCAGGAGCTCTTTTATGTTTATAGCACTATTTGTTATCGGCTTGACTGAGAAAATTTTCGCCCAATCCAACTTCAAATACTGAAGCCAATCACGTCCAAGAAGAGCTGGTTTCTTACCCGAAGCTATTCGTAATGGTAAGATACGACTCTGTTCACTATAGACCACTGGTACCTGTATCTCTCCGACTATTGGCACTTTACCTCCTCCATAGTCTCTCAGCTTAATGGAAGGTTTCTGTAATGGTAAGCGCTTAAGGTGCTCCTCATATACACTCTCCGACACAATCGTAGCCGCGGCACCAGTATCCAACTCGAAATTAATCGGATATCCGTCCACTCTTACAGTGACCCGGTACTCTTCACCCATTGTCTTGGTACTCTGAGTATGATGCGTATGTTCATATAGACCAAACAATCCAAAATCTTCATCATCATCAGTGTCTACGCCTTGATATCGAACATTTTTCTTCTTATATTTACACTTTCTTCCAATGTGTCCGACTCGCTGACACTCATAACATTTCTCATTTTTGAATTTACAGTCATCAGGGGAGTGCTTGCCTCCACATCTAAAACACTGCTTCCTGTCATGACAGTTACCTGATTTCTGTTTACTGGGGGTAGTTTTCTCAAACTTTTCACTTCTCTGTCCCTGCATCCCTCCTTTAAAACTGTTTCTTCCGCCGCGCTTAACATGGTGTATCGGCACTTCCGGTTTAGCCATGACATGTATTTCACTTGTGTTCTTGTAGGCCATTTCCATGGCCTGGGCGATTTGAACTGCTTTATTAAAATCCAAGTCAGTTTCAGCTAACAGTTTTTTCTGGATTACATCATTTTTCAACCCACATACAAATCTGTCACGTAGGGCTTGATTCAGAAAATCACCAAAATCACAGTCAACTGACAACCTTTTCAGACTTGCCAAGTAATCAGAAATAGTTTCTGTGTCATTTTGTTTCCGTGAGTGAAATTTAAATCTCTCTGCGATTACTAGGGGCTTTGGCCTAAAATGTAACTTCAACGTCTGTTTCAGTTCAACTTTTGTCTTGGTACTTGGAATATCAGGGGTAATCAGGTCCCGTAACAAGCTATATGTGTGCGCACCAACTACAGCTAAAAATACGGCTACCCGCTTGTCGTTAGCAACTTTATTCGCGGCGAAGTACTGTTCAAGCCTCTCGGTATAACATTGGAAATCCTCTTTCCCTTCGACATATTCCCCTATTCGTCCTACCTTTGCCATGGTGTATACCAACACTGAGCTGCTCGTCCAACTGTCAATTTGAAAATCCTCGTCGCCAGTGTAACATCTCAGCCTAGGTTCTTAATTAGCCTACAGACAGACGACACAACTCGTACAAATGGCGTTAACAAGCATGGACTGCTTTTCGTTTATTCGGACCATCTCAATACTCTACATGTAAGTACAGGGTAATGGTCGAGGAGTCAAAATGGATCTTGGGATTGACTAAGAGCTGGAATCGGATCTATTATATCCGGAATTACATATAATGACACTACTACACTACAAATAGGACCTGCAAATACTGAAGTAAGGGCACCGGTGGTATTTGCAGACACAGTTGATTCGGGATTTGGAGGTCTGACAATGACTTCGCTTGCACTAGATGTGCTATTAGCTCTAGCGAAATGCCTGTCACCAACATCATCCAAGCATGACGATATCGCTCTTGAAATCGTCCGGTGCTGCTTTGTGTTTAAAGTTGAGTAACTGTTGATACTCTGGATATTCTTGTGCCCGGAAATCTGGAGGATGCAGAGAATTACATAATTAGGCAACGTTTTATAGGAGCAATGGAAGTAGAGATCTAGTTATTGTCTACTCTAAGCCCGACAATGATGCATTGCCCTGTATTATGAAAGCAGGAGATTTTTATAAATTTATATTAGTGTTAAACTGTTTGGGATTTAATTTCTTTAAACAAGGTAAGCGTTCATTTACTCGTAACGATTATAGGCCCTAATGATCATCATCAAGTTAAGATATTTCAATGTGAAAATACTTTGTACCTGCATAATCTGATTTGGGGGTAATCCTTTGTCAATGAGTTTTTGTACAAGGTACTTCCTGGCACTATGGTTTGTCAGTCTTTTTCCATTATTGTTACTCCCAGACTTGTTCATCAGACCTGGTCATATAAAAAAAACAGGCATAAATCTAAACTCTGAATATGAACTGAATAAATAACAAGCAATTTAATCAAGGCCAATATATGCACCATTCCGACCTAATTAAAGAAATTTATTACTTTGGGCTGGAATTATGCTCAAAAGATTATTTTTGACTTCAACCGACTAAAATTATGAAAAGGCTACAATGTTAGGCCTAGGTGTAAGCAAGTGCAACATTACAAATACATTGTACTTAAAGGTATCAATGACGTAAGCTGACGTAAAAGGGGCGGAGTATAGGGTTTGTAAACATACACTGGGTTTTGTTTACATTTCAATCTCATTTACCTGCATTCTCTGCCATAGTCTTCATAAAAGTCCCTAGTTTGTTAACGCCAACTGGTTGAGACTTATACCACTTGCTTGATTTGTCACAGTTTGTATTAGTTGCGATATAGTAGGGGGCTTCAGGGTTACGGTACGTAAGCGGGCGATGTACTTGGCAGGTTTTATAAGTGGCGACGGGGCATCGTGATGGGTTGTCGGGGGTAGCCCAGGCACGCGGAGGAACTTCCCTAACATTTTTGGGGTTGGAACCCGCTCTCGGAACTCAAGATATTCATTACTTTCAGAATCTTTACATAATTTCACATCACCCCATTGCATGTCTCGGTGTTCGGTAACGCCGCGCATTCCAAAATATACCGTATTATTCAACTAAATTGTTCTCAGCAAACTTTCGGCATTACTACAGCCTAGCTGTCCAGATTCGTATAATTTGTCAATCTCGTCATCAGATATAGCATCAGCCCTGTTTTCACAATTTCCTTTGCCCTCACGTTTCAGTTTTTTTTGTTTAGACCGGATAACATCCATAACATTAGAAAACACAGGGCTTATTGAAATTTGTTTCCCGTAATCTTTCGACTTCAGGTATCGATCTAAACTACAGGCTATACTTCTGATAGAAGCTGGTTCATATTCCTGGCCATTTAGATTCCGCACATTCATGAAAAATATACACAGCAATTTGTTTAAATGTGCAGGGGGTATAATTTCAATTGGCCGCACTTCTCTAAGGACGTTTTTAAGGTATTCATGGACTTTCTTGACGTCACCGTCAGTTTTTTTCTTCGTGTTCTTGTTTACCTCCGACGCAATAAATCCATCTCTATCAAAATCGTCAAGAGAATCATCAGACAAACCGTTCTGAGTATCGATATTTTGGCAAATAGTAACGGTTTCAGACAATGTATGAGCCAAAGTCATGTCGCGGTCCGGACAAGCCGGTATCACGTCAAAACGATACTTGGCTTCTGTAACCGTCTTTCCCGAATTAAGCTCTATTTGGAAACGATCAAACCCAAAATTAGTATCTGCTTTTGAAATTGCCCGGATTACACCTTTTTCCCCATCACACAGCCTTACTCTATCACCTACATTCACCTCAAGCCTGTCCAGTTCAGCCATGTTGACAGCAGACGATAAACAAATCGCACGTGGAACAAATCACGCGAGTGAAAAAAGTAGTTCGGGTCAAAGTTTACCAATCATGTATCCGGAAGGCCATATACCACTAGTGGAATATCACTTATATTTATCCAACACCCGCCATATTTACACAATGGGCTGAGAGTGGAATAAATTAAAGTAGAATGGTAGAAACAGTAATAGCTATCTATACCCACTGATATACAGTAATAGTTATCAATATCTATACCCACAGATATACATTAATAGTTATCAATATCTATACCCACTGATATACAGTAACAGTTATCAATATGTATACCCAGTGAGATACAGTAATAGTTATCAATAGATATACCCACTGATATACAGTAATAGCTATCTATATCTATACCCACTGATATACAGTAATAGTTATCTATACCCACTGATATACAGTAATAGTTATCTATACCCACTGATACACAGTAATAGTAATCAATATGTATACCCAGTGAGATACAGTAATAGTAATAATACAGAAAAGAAGAGTGATCTCCCCTGGTATGGCGGTGTTTTCATTTCATCTTGATAATTCCGAGGAGTTTTTCTCCAGAATCTGTTGTTAGCAGTAAGACTTTTGACTTCTGGTGAGTTTATGACCCTCCAGTGGGATGTGAAACTGTCTGGTATTCTGACTTTTGTAAGATTGGTTTTGAAAATGTGACTTTAGAACCACTGAACATTCATCGCTTCATGTTGCACACACACACACACGAACTCTACCTGTATGTACAGTACGGTCATCGCCAAAAATTCGTCACGCTCTGCTGACCACACACAAAGTTGTAACCTGTAAAGGCGCACGGTGGATAATTCATACTCCCCACTATTAGCCATTGACCTACGTTTACTATTGAATGTGTTGTGAAATGTGTTGTAATTATCATGGCTGCAGTAACTGAGCCATCTAAAGATACTATTTCTTCAGAATCGTCGTTTGAAGTGCCCTGTTCAGCCTTCCGAAAACAGAATATGTTTCGAAACTCATTGAAATTGCCGGGAACACGGAAAGCAAAATTTCATGGTATCGTGCCATTCTCTATGATCGCGCGAAGGACATTGACGGTTGTCCTGTGTCACGTCTTGTAACACGCAAAACTACTACAAAGAGCTCAGCCCAAGAGAAGTATGCTAAAGATTGTCATGCATTACAACAATTTCTAGATGGCGAGTCGGTGTCAGAGTTGTCCGATATTTTTTCATCGTCTCAATGTTGCGGGCGCACCCCTAATCTGGACACATCTGGTATGAATGTAACTTTAAATAACTTGGAAGACTGTCCCTTAGCGAAGCACTCTGATATCGAGTTCTTAAAGGTTGAAATGGCCAGCCTTCGAGCATTGCTTCATGAATCAAGAGAATCTTCTAAAAAATCGAATTGACTCTGTGATTGAGACTCAAAAGGGCTTAGCCCAAGACATTTCCAGCATCAAGGCCCAACTTTGCCAGGCTTGTGACTCAATTACTAAAGTCCTTGATGTAGGGAAGTTTACGAAATCTTCTAAGTCTAACGTAGAACTCCCTGAAAGTCTTCTGGTTGTTGCGTCAAAGGTATCAGCTCTAGAAAAGTCTCGAAATTCAGTCACCTCTGAGATTTCTAGTATTTCCAAGTCGATTGAAGACAACAGTCTTGGAATCTCTCGTCTAAATGATGACCGCTTTGGCAGTGCCACTTCCCTTCACAATGACATTAGAACGATTAACGGGAAAATGTCCGTGCTAGAGCACGATCTCGGCGAAGCTAAATCACGCACTTCTTCAGCCATTGATAGCATTTCCTCTCTGAAACCTCGAATCCGGCAAGTTAAAATTGATGTCAAAGAGGTTTCTCAGAAAGCAAAGCAATCTACAGATAATGCGGTCCGAGCTTTTGCACAGGAACTCAGTACGCAGCTGACCTCTATGGAAGATTTTGTTGCAAATTCTGTTCAGAAGTCTTCCAAGAACATCCCCGATTCATTCCCTGTTCACTACGATAACTCTCATCGGATACCGCGTTCAAGTGATCCTCCTAGGGATATCCCTAAGCGTGAGTTGTCCCCACGTCCTCCAGAACGCCCTGTTCAACTCTCCCAGCATTCTGCATTTTCCAAGCACTCCCACTCAGAGGTGGTGGGACCACAACCGTCGTTAAAACGAGTTCAGGTTGCCAGCCGTCCTCTACCTACCGATGTTGACAGGCAGTCTGCAGACCCAGCTCACTCTGCAACCTCAAGTGGATTCGCCGCTGTGACACGGAATAAAACTACTCGTCTCTTTCTCAGTGGAATGTCGTCGGAAAGATGCTCTGCTGACGACATCAGATCATTTCTGGAATCTTGAGACGTCAAGGTCACGTTTGTTCGTTTGCTTAAAAGCAAGCGGAAATATTCTGTCTCTGCCTGCATCAACGTAATCTCCGCTGATGTTCCGAAGACAAAGGTAACAGGATTTTGGCCAAAAGGCATCCACTGTCGTAAGTGGCTATCTAATAACCGATTCCATGGTTACACAGAAAACACGCAGGCAGACACTGATGATTGTGATTAGTACTTCATTCTACCTCCTATTGTACTTTACTTTACCGGTGTTGATGAATGTGAGGATATTGTCCTGGAACGTAACCGGCATTATGTCGGCTGCTTCCCACCTACATGACGCTCTTAATAAAGAACACATAGACATTTGTGGTATCTCCGAGCACTGGCTCTTCGAAGAGAATAGGCACCTCTTTCAGAGCATTCACAGAGACTATGATGCGTTCGTCATCTCAGATTTTTCATTACATCCATGTGCGGAGCGACGGTCGCGCAAAGGTGGCGTTGCAATATTATGGCATAGAAGACTATCCGGTCGTGTTACAGTGGTCGAGTCTGATGACGACAGAATAGCTATTATCAAACTTATCACAAACAATGGTGTTTTCTTTCTGATCCAGGTGTATCTTCCTACGTCTCGCTATGGTATTGACATTTTTACAGACTATGTCGATAGACTTGATGATTTGTGCACTAGTTTCTCTTTGGAGGGCTCCGTTGTTCTAATGGGGGACTTCAATGCCCGTCTTAGTGGCCCACGCATTCCCTTATATCAAAACTCGCGAGGTCGCTTGCTCCAGCGATGTATCGACCGACATCAGTTGTGTGCGCTGACAACGACCGACATATGCGTTGGTCCGTTACATTCATATGTACATTCCGAGGATGGTTCGTCATCATTGATAGACCATATTATTGTAAATTCCTTAAATGTTGACCTCGTGAGGAGCTGTGACGTCCTAGACCATGATTTTCTCGACGTGTCTAATCACAGACCCTTATTAGCGGAGTTACGGATTCCTCACTCCACTCAGAATGAAACATGTGAAACTATCTCTTGGATCTCGTATAGATGGGTTCCTGCAGGAGATTCTAAAAACGTTGATGTTTATCGAGACAATCTGGACGTAAGCATCATCAACTCAGCGTTATGGAACACACAAGAACTGTGCTCAAAGGATGATGTTGACATATTTACCAGGGGGCTCATGAACTGCATTCGGTTAACGTCCGATCGGGTATTGCCTAAACGAAAGTTTTGTAAATTCCTGAAGCCATACTGGAATGGTCAACTGAAGGAGTTACATCGTAATACGTGGAGGCTTCGCCAGGTTTGGGTCTCTGAGGGACGGCCTCGAGGTTCTAATACCCGTTCCTTTAGGCTTTATAAAGATTCTAAACGCTTATTCAGGAATAAACACCGGCAGATATCTGAAAAACATATTGTAGACCTTAATGACGAAATAGAGAAATGTGCTGACGTTGATCAGAAGTCCTTTTGGTCCCTCATTAACAAACGCCGCAAGTCCTCCGCTGGAACTGTCGGTGCAGACATGAACTTTAATGAAGTGACGATTAGGGATCCAGCTCTTTTGGCCCTTCACTGGGGGAATTATTTTGAAGACATTTATTCAAAGTCTAATTGTAATAATTTTGATTCACGTTTTGAAAAACGAGTTAATGAATCCATTGTCAGTAGTTTATGTTGTGACATCGATGATAATTTCGAGGAGTTTTCCTTAACCGATATCAAGAATGTTTGTAAAAGCTTACCATGTGGTAAAGCAGCTGGTTACGACCCTATCGTTTACGAGCACCTTTTATATGCTCCTGACACTTTGTACTAGTGTTTTTATGTTCTCTTCAATGCATTCTTAAGGTTAGAGTATGTTCCTCCTGTTCTCACCAAAGGCCTCATCTGTACTTTGTATAAGGGTCATAACAAACCTAAAAATGACCCAAATAGTTATCGTGCGATCTCACTTTTGCCAGTAATTTTAAAAGTATTTGAAAAATTACTACTTGCTAGGCTCCAGGCTTCAGATTTGTTTGTCCCACATCCGTTACAGAACGGTTTTCAAAGGAATGTTAACAGTACTATGACGTCATTTCTAGTTCATGAATCTGTGACGTACGCATGTAATAACAACAGTAAACTCTTCACTTGTTTCCTTGATGCTGCCAAGGCATTTGACTGTGTTTGGCATAATGGCCTGTTTTACAAACTCTCTAAGCTTGGTCTTAAGTCTAAATACTTGAATGTGATTATTTCACTTTACTCAGACATGTTTAGTGCAGTAATTTACCAAGGTTTTGTTTCTAACTGGTTTAAAATATGCCAAGGTACGCGTCAAGGGAGCATCATTTCTCCGTGGCTGTATACAGTCTTCATCAATGACCTTTTAAATGAATTATGTGCTTCAAAACATTCTTTATCAATTTATGGTGTAAATGTTACATGTCCAACTCAAGCAGACGACATAACGCTGCTGTCTCTTTGTAAACGCGGTTTGGACAATCTCATGGACATCTGCTACGACTACAGTTGCAAATGGCGATTTAATTACAATGCGTCAAAATCCACAGTGATTGTTTTTAACGAAAGCAAGAATGTCTTTTCAAAAATTACTAGAAATTGGAATCTTGGCCCAGATTCCGTGTCTGAATCTACTAATTGTAAGCATGTTGGAATTTTTATGAACAAGTACAAACCTGGTTGTCCAGATGTCGACGAGATTGTCCACAAATTGCGTGGGCAGTGTTTTGCCTTACTCCACTGTAATTTATTTGGTACGGGCATCAACCCTTTAACAGCTGCAAAGTTATATAATTCAGTTGTAATGCCGAGCAGTATCTTTGGATGTGATATGTGGTCTTCACTTTCTGAATCTAAATGGACTCGTCTCGAAACAGTTCACCATTTTTGTGCTAAGCTTATGCAAGGTTTTTCACGGCGCACCAGGTCCGACATTGCCCTTAGTATGTTAGGACTTCCATCTTTGCGACTGTATATTGAGTCAAAACTTCGATTTTTTGCTGCCTTATGTAGAACTGATACACGTTTAGCCGTTAAGAAATTGTTCTTACAGAGACTTTTCCAAATATTTTTTGGTTTACCCGGTAAAGGAAATGACATTATTCTAGATATATGGAATTTATTTCACAAGTATGATTTGCAGGACGTTCTGTACCATTTTTTTGCAATCAGGCGTTTTCCCGTCAAAGCACCGCTGGAAATACCTTACAAAAGGCTACTTGAATAGTATATATTCTTCTGAGTGGAGTGAACGCCTTAATAGCTGTGAGGATTTTAGTAGATTTAAACATTTACAGCGAGAGATAAGCCCATCTCCACTTTGGTACCTCTCAAAATGTTTCCCAAAGTTAAATAAAACATGTAAAACAGTTGCAAAGCTATGGAGCATTCCGCCTAATTGCGAATTATCATGTGCTCAGTGTCAGCTCTTAGTTGAGGATGCAGTTGGTCATTGTTTTTTTAGACTGTTCCAGTGTCACGCTTTTAAATCTTCGTGACCTCTTTTTAACTAAAATAATTAATGACTATCCGGTTAATGTTTATGCAACACTTGTGAACTCGTGTAGAGAGATTCAAATTGCTACTATCTTAGATAGCCCTCCCGTCGTTATTTCTGATTTATTCCAGGAGAATGATTTGCTCTTGGCTACATTTTCAAAAGACTGTTGCATTTTTGCCGAAAAGGCATGCCTTCTTTCATTTTGTTAAGATAAACCTCAAATTCCTCTACCTTGTAGCAATTTGAGTCCTTCTCCTAGTTTTCTCGTTTTCCTTATCTTATATCTGTCCCTAAATATGTATTTGTCTTATATTTTATATCTGTATTTTTCTTTTTCGTTTCATTGAAAATTAGCTGTTATTTCCATGATTATGTAATATTTCATACAATGTCTGTAACTCTTCTTTTATAGAGGAATAAAGATATGAATGAATGAATGGTATACCCAGTGAGATACAGTAATAGTTATCTATACCCACTGATACACAGTAATAGTTATCAATATATACACCCACTGATATACAGTAATAGCTATCTATATATATACCCACTGATATACAGTAATAGCTATCTATATCTGATATACAGTAATAGTTATCTATACCCACTGATATACAGTAATAATTATCAATATATATACCCACTGATATACAGCAATGATACACAGTAATAGTTATCTATACCCACTGATATACAGTAATATTTATCAATATATATACCCACTGATACTGATATACAGTAATAGCTATATATATACCCACTGATATACAGTAATAGTTATCTATACCCACTGATACACAGTAATAGTTATCAATATATATACCCACTGATATAAAGTAATAGCTATCTATATCTATACTCACTGATATGATATACACTGATACACAGTAATAGTTATCAATATATATACCCACTGATATACAGTAATAGCTATCTATATCTATACCCACTGATATACAGTAATAGTTATCTATACCCACTGATATACAGTAATAGTTATCAATATATATACCCACTGATACACAGTAATAATTATCAATATATATACCCACTGATATACAGTAATAGCTATCTATATCTATACCCACTGATATACAGTAATAGTTATCTATACCCACTGATACACAGTAATAGTTAACAATATATATACCCACTGATATACAGTAATAGCTATCTATATCTATACCCACTGATATACAGTAATAGTTATCTATACCCACTGATATACAGTAATAGCTATCTATATCTATACTGATATACAGTAATATATATACCCACTGATATACAGTAATAGTTATCAATAGATATACCCACTGATATACAGTAATAGTTATCTATATCTATACCCACTGATATACTGTAATAGTTATTAATATATATATATACCCACTGATATACACTGATATACAGTAATAGTTATCAATATCTATACCCACTGATATACAGTAATAGTTATCAATATCTATACCCACTGATATACAGTAATAGTTATCTATACCCACCGATATACAGTAATAGCTATCTATACTCACTGATATACAGTAATAATCATCTATACCCACTGATATACAGTAAGAGTTATCTATACCCACTGATATGCAGTAATAGTTATCAATATCTATACCCACTGATATACAGTAATAGGTATCTATACCCACTGATATACAGTAATAGTTATCAATATCTATATCCACTGATATACAGTAATAGTTATCAATATCTATACCCACTGATATACAGTAATATATATCAATATCTATACCCACCGATATACAGTAATAGTTATCAATATCTATACCCACCGATATACAGTAATAGTTACCAATATCTATACCCACTGATATACAGTAATAGTTATCAATATCTATACCCACTGATATACAGTAATAGTTATCTATACCCACTGATACACAGTAATAGTTATTAATATATATATATACCCACTGATATACACTGATATACAGTAATAGTTATCAATATCTATACCCACAGATATACATTAATAGTTATCAATATCTATACCCACTGATATACAGTAATAGTTATAAATATGTATACCCAGTGAGATACAGTAATAGTTATATATACCCACTGATATACAGTAATAGCTATCTATACTCACTGATATACAGTAATAATTATCTATACCCACTGATACACAGTAATAGTTATCAATATATACACCCACTGATATACAGTAATAGCTATCTATATCTATACCCACTGATATACAGTAATAGTTATCTATACCCACTGATATACAGTAATAGTTATCAATATCTATACCCACTGATATACAGTAATAGTTATCAATAGATATACCCACTGATATACAGTAATAGTTATCAATAGATATACCCACTGATATACAGTAATAGTTATCTATACCCACTGATATACAGTAATAGTTATCAATATCTATACCCACTGATATACAGTAATAGTTATCAATATCTATACCCACTGATATACAGTAATAGTTATATATACCCACTGATATACAGTAATAGTAATCTATACCCACTGATATACAGTAATAATTATCTATACCCACTGATATACAGTAATAGTTATCAATATCTATACCCACTGATATACAGTAATATATATCAATATCTATACCCACTGATATACAGTAATAGTCAATATCTATACCCACTGATATACAGTAATAGTTATCAATATCTATACCCACTGATATACAGTAATAGTTATCAATATCTATACTCACTGATATACAGTAATAGTTATCAATATCTATACCCACTGATATACAGTAATATATATCAATATCTATACCCACTGATATACAGTAATAGTTATCAATATCTATACCCACTGATATACAGTAATATTATCAATATCTATACCCACTGATATACAGTAATAGTTATCAATATCTATACCCACTGATATACAGTAATAGTTATCAATATCTATACCCACTGATATACAGTAATAGTTATATATACCCACTGATATACAGTAATAGTTATCAATATCTATACCCACTGATATACAGTAATAGTTATCAATATCTATACCCACTGATATACAGTAATAGTTATCAATATCTATACCCACTGATATACAGTAATAGTGATATACAGTAATAGTTATCAATATCTATACCCACTGATATACAGTAATAGTTATCTATACCCACTGATATACTATACCCACTGATATACAGTAATAGTTATCAATATCTATACCCACTGATATACAGTAATATATATATACCCACTGATATACAGTAATAGTTATCAATATATATACCCACTGATATACAGTAATAGTTATAATATATT